ATCAAAATCATTTGGTGCTTGTTAATAAACACAGGTTCCTGAGATGCCCTACTGAATTAGGGCATAAATGCACCTAGGAATGTGCATTTCATCAATTACCCTGGAGTGGTTCTTATCCACTGCGAAGTCCAAAAGTCACTCCCAATGGAAGACCGATAACAGTACCTTGCAGTGTGTTCAGCTAAGCAGTGATGTCCCACAGTGGTGTCCCACTGAGGGCTTGCCGTATGCCTAGGGTCCTTTATGGCAGGGGCTAGGGGAGGATCCAGGTTTTGTGAGGCCTGAAGCCTAAATAATTTGGGGGGATGTTTTAATGGGAAAAAATAAACTAAAAAAATATAAATACAAAAAAATTAAAAACATGAATATGTTTAGGGTGAGAAAAGAAATCATTAATTTTTAAAAGACCTATCATAAAATCCAGAAAAATGATATTGTTAATAATTAACTGACCTACGTTTTCCATACTTTTTGGTTGCATAGCCGTAGATTGCCTCTTCATATGACAGCTGTTTAGCACTATCACTTTCTTGTATAGACAATAGAAAGATCGTTGCTTCCTGTGGCAATTTCAACAGAACTGAGATTTTATTACTGCTGATGGTGATGTGTAAAGCATGCAACTTTACAAACAGAATATAAACACACGGTGCACATAACCTGCAAACGTAAGAATTCTGGTTCATTCTATTTTCCATGATTCCCATAAAAAATAAAAACGGTATGGAGCACCTATAATTTTATATGCTGAATTGGATATATTCTTGTCAAGAGAGAATTTCTGTTTTGACTAAGTGTCAGTGAGAATTGGATCTCACTTGAAATTTTACATAACTAATGATTGAAAAAAAAAAGTCCAGCTGGCATCTGGCTCTTTACTACCCAGATATTTCTGGTGCTGGCCATCACAGGATACGTTTACATCACAAGGTGTACTTGGGTTCTTTACCTTCATGACACCATACTCAGTGAGTTGGCACCAAGGGTGGAAGAAGAATTTCTGGAAGACATTGCTACATGAGGAAGACTAGAAATAATGTACCCTCTACAAGGAAGTGTCTGCAAATGACGTAAATACTTATTACTGTACCCAAACCATATGAACCCCCAATTCACCTTCCTGTTAATTGGACCTCCAAACTTAATGTAAATCCTCCAAAGCCACCCAACATAAAGGGAATTTGAAAAATACACAGTCTTAACTAGTTGTAATTAAAACATCTTAACTTTAGCCCATTTAACAAAAATTGTATGGTGCTATTAATGTATTACTAGGGTGCCTCCCAGAGTCATGAAAGGAACCTGGACAAGAGAGGACTTGAAACTTGATTCCCTGGAAGGATTTCTACTGGGGAGGATCAAGAAGAAACACAGATTGGAGACTATCTTTCTTTTTATATTTTTATCATCTCAACATGTTTCAGTTTTTGACTAGAAAAATTAGTGTACTCAGCATATCTAAATTTTCCCTTTCTCGGCAGGATTATTGGTAACAGATGTATGCATTTCCTTATGTTTGGTTGGCTTCGCTTCCTGTTGTAACCATTCATACAAAATTGCTCACTCCCTTCCCTGTTCTTTCCTTCTTCCCTTACCATCTGAGTTGCAAACTGGAGTATTCTGTTTTACGTGGCTTATTTAAGTAGGCAGTTGGTGTGGTAGAGATTTAAGAGCCCTCATTACCTACAGAATAGGCCACTACATCGTTCATGAGGGGTCCGAATTCTGATCCCCACTCAGCCTTTAATTTGTTGTGTGACTTGAAAGAGAACTACTTCTCCTTCCTGGCTTCAAGCTCCTCAGCTAGTCAGTAAACATGGTGGTCAATACCAGTGGTCCCTAGGAGCGCAAGAGTCCTGCCAAGCCCTCAGAGAAGCTCTGCTTTTTTACTGTTGCGTATTCTAGAATTTGTTGCAATCTTTTTCTCTTGCAGTGGTCATACTATTAAAAAATATATTGAAGGCCAGTTTTTAGAGAAGTAATCCCAAATGCTTGGAACAGCCTAGGGAGTTTTTTTAATTAATTAATTAATTTTATTTATTTATTTATTTATTTATTTATTTATTTATTTATTTTTAGCAATTATAACTCCATCATAGAGCTCAGAACTTGTATTTGTTAAAAGTTTGTTTTTGAGCCTGATGGCCTGATGCATAGTCAAGGCTGAGGGAGGATTATTCTGGACAAGTGGTATGCAACCTTGTCTATACCAAATTACATGGGACACTTTAAAAATGCTGATGCTTGGGGCGCCTGGGTGGCGCAGTCGGTTAAGCGTCCGACTTCAGCCAGGTCACGATCTCGCGGTCCGTGAGTTCGAGCCCCGCATCAGGCTCTGGGCTGATGGCTCAGAGCCTGGAGCCTGTTTCCGATTCTGTGTCTCCCTCTCTCTGCCCCTCCCCCGTTCATGCTCTGTCTCTCTCTGTCCCAAAAATAAATAAAAATGCTGATGCCTGAGTCCTACCTTTGTGATTATTATTTAATAGACACCTATTATTTAATAGGTGTTTTTAAAGCCTCCATAGCTATCTGATATGTATCCAGGATTGAGAAAGCCTAATAGAGACAGTCACTGCATTTCGTCAAGGTATAACAATCTTTGTATGAAACAAAAAGTCACAAGTGTGATATCCGTATCTCTAGAGTCTTCTAAATATTTATTGAACATGTTGTTTCCACTTTATAGCTAAATTACGTAATTCCCACATTGGTTGTGGCAAATGTCAAAGAAAAAGCAGCTGGTGTGGTGGCAATATGTCTAGCTTCTGTACTCTTATTTCTCATTGTTCATCATACCTACTAGAGTCCAGTACAGTTATTCTTGTCCTTGCCCTGCTATAAGCCCTGTATTCCTGCACAAGTTGGTCAACTCTAGGCTTAAATCAGCTCATTCATAAAATTAGTTCATTGGAGTTAAAGGACCTTGCAGATACGATTTTACAATTATGTGATCATTTCTTTAATTTATAGAATTTGTTTTAATAGGAAATAAAGGCGTAATTTCCTTCAAACTTATAAGACATTCTTTCTCCTTCTAAGGGATCTTGGTGTGTAAAAAAGTTAACGAGAAATGACTTTGTTGCATTTCTATGTTGTTACAATACAGCCCTGATCTATAGAATTATAAGGAGCTGAGTTATGAAATGGAGATCCTCTTGTAGCGTAAATTTCACTGCTTGGTTGGGAACCCAGCGCTTTGGAAGCCTAAGTGAAAATGTGCAGGGATACTAAAAATTAATTTTCCTGTGGTGTTGGACTTAAGCTTCTATACACTCCCAGATGGCAGAGGATTTCATATTAGATGGGAAATCATTCATTTGTCATTTATGTATTTGTTTTTTCACTCATTCATTCCATACACATATATTTAAATAAATATTTATATTAGGACCTGATTTTGGCGCTAGGATAGTGTCCAAAACAAGACAGATGTCATGTAGGACTTCATTGAGCATTTCCGTTGATCATAAATAAGAATTCACTAGGCTTTTCAGAATACCAGTGATGTTTAAAGGCCTTGAGTTCTCAAGGGGATTTTTAGATTTTATGTGTACATTTTAATGATTATCTAAAAACTATAAAGTAATCATATCCCAGCCCATCTGGAAGATGAATTAATAACCAATGATGTGATTTCAGAGCCCACGTTTTGTTTGTCACCATGGTCACTTTGGTACTGCATACAACACATTTCATTGATCTTGACCAAGATGAAAATAAAAAGAGGCAAGCTTTATTCTTAGGGAATGGAGTATGCTTACGTGAAGGACAAATGAAGTAAAAAATCCCAAAAGAAAGGTTGTGCAAGTATTTGAATAGAGAAAAACAGTAGGGGCCATTTTGTCACATGGCTCATGGCAGAATAGGGATGATAGACTCAGAAGATGCTGTGCTAAAGTCCTTGGTACCACATTATGTCACTTAGTTTTAGGAAATCATCAACCTTTGTAGAAGTCAGTTATTGTCCATTTTGATTGACACACATTGGTTGATTTGTTCGTATTTAATTTTAAATTCAGTTTTGGTTTTAGAATTTTATTGAAATAAGTTTACTTAGATTTGTGTTGATACTTAAGCAGTGGTGGTAGGAGAAAGATCTTTTGTGTCAACAGCAGGGTTTAAGGAAAGCTTCCTTACTTTAAGGAGGATTAATATATTACTTAACTTTGACAAATATTTTTCTAACTTATCTCACTGTGCTGTAATCACTACTTAATGAGTTCTTTCCTCCCATTAACCTGCGAGCTCCTGGAAGGCATTTTCACACCTTCCTTGACTTTGAGCCTCTTTAATGTTTATTAAATAAGTGAATTGATTGATCACAATTGGAATCCTGTAACTCCTAAGGACTAATTCATCACGTAATGAGGTTACTGTTAAGGGAGGCATTTAAGCACCAGCTACCATTTGAAGATTTCTGAGTCCGGTGGGGCTTAATCTATGCCCATCAGCATCACTTTGAACTCTGAAATAGGGAGAAGATAAAAATTGTTACTTTTCCCTGACTTTTTGGCTGTACAGAATGACTGCATTTGAGATCATTTAGCACCCCCCCACACACACCAAATAAATTAGTTGAATAGCATTTATTATACCACCGCGATGAACTGTTGGGGTTCATTTATTTTCTCAGACAAATTCTAAATTTTGCCCTCAGGACTTTGGTAGGCGGTTGAGCATCTCCCTCACGAAGAGGTTGGAATTCTAAGAATCATTTGGAAAATGGCTTCCTAAGGGTCTCTTCCTCCCAGGGTATGCGCACCTGTGGATGTCTCGGTATATACATCATGAGAGATGACTGTGTAAAATGAGGGGACTAACACAGTGTCCAGAGGAGATACTTTTGTCCAGGGGAAACTGACTTTTGGAGTTGTCAGGAGGATGGAAACGTACAGACGGCAGCCAGCCATATCTCTTCATCAGTTGATTTTTTTTTCTTTTTTTTTTCTTCCTCTCAGCAGTTTAACGTGAGTGCGTCTCTCTTGCCTTGTCTATTTCAGATGCCTCAGGAACAGTACACACACCACCGGAGCTCCATGCCCAGCTCTGAGGGGCCACAAGTATACAAGGTGGGCATTTATGGCTGGCGGAAAAGATGCCTGTATTTCTTTGTCCTACTCCTGATGATTTTAATACTGGTGAACTTGGCCATGACCATCTGGATTCTCAAAGTCATGAACTTCACAATCGTAAGTAAAAACACATGTTTCTTCAGCCCTTCTTGGGGGAAGGGAAGGGAACGTGTGGACAAAGAAAAAGGAATGTGGAAAAGTAGTGGTAGTAGGATTCAAAAGATCTTGTAGCCTGGCATTTGGTTAAAAGTATTTCTGTTCACATTACTTTTGGGGATCCACCTCTATCTCATCTCTAGTTCCCAAAGGCTGGTAATTCGATTTGGAGGCATTTCCCTCCTTTATAGTCTCTCATATGGTTTCCCTTCATTTTGACAACCGTGTCTGTGTATCCTGTAGTTTCTAAGCCCTCTGAGTAAATAATGCAGGAAGAAATATGGGAAAAATTCAAAGTACTAAGTTTTCCCAAAGTTTAGTAGTGATTGTGAAAGATTTTGTGAAGTGGAGGGTAGAAATATCTGAGTAAAATGAGGCTTTGTGAATTAGTTAAGAGTTTTAACGGTCTGTATATGCCGGCTAGCTCATTACTGTGTTTAATTGAGATTCTCCTTGATTTTTAGAAGGGCAATTCTCTTTGCCATTGCCAGAGCAGGATGGAAATGAGAGCAGAGCCAGGTTTCATTTTTTGTAGTAAAAATTGTGTTTATGCTTCTTTGAAGAAATTCTTGCTATAGGTACTTAAGGGTACTATACACATTGAACATTTACTTGTTGAAGTTCAAATGAAAAGAAAATCCTGGAAATACGATTTCTGGAGTCATTCTGCGGGTTTTTTTCCCCTTTAGATTTCCTAGAGATTCTGGCATTGTAAGTCCTTTCACTTTTAGTGAAAGCATAGTGGATAGTAATCTGCTGCCTTGAGATTACTTTCCTTTCTTGTGATGTCAAAAGCAAATAATTAGATTGGCCATAAAAATAAATCCTATTGTATAGAGCAATGTGACCATATTACAGTAAGTTACCGGTGAGATTTTCATGTGAAAATCCCAAATAAGATAGTGGATTTTTGCCTTTTCTGGATTATAAAGTTTATTTTTATCCTTAACACACAGTGCAGAGGCATGCTTCCCTGCCTTTTCGGGGGAAGTATCTTCTGTTTGGGCTACTTTTCTCCATCTGCCTGATGCTCCTATAGCTGCCTGGGAAAACCCTGGATCCTCCTGTAACTCCATTTCTCTGTTTCTTATTACACTCATTACCCAAGATAAGAATTTTTGCCTGTACTTCCCAGACAGACTCCCTTTGAGAAGACTGAGTGCTGAATCTTTTTAGAGATTATGGTTCTAAGAGGTATCCAGGATCCCTTTGGTCCTATGTCCAAGTGACCACAATTGCCATTTGTTGATGTGCATGTTCTGTGATGTTTTTATTTTATAATTCATGAACTTACAAAGTGGAGAAACGTTTGTTTTGCAGTGTTAAATAAGACTGAGGCTAGGGCAGTAGAATGGAGAATAAAGATGGAAAAGACATTTAAAAGATGGTGTTGAATAAATACCTCAACTACTGGTTGGATGTAGAAGACAAGGGGTTGGAAGATATTCTGGAACATTCTCAGGTTCTCGCTGGTGAGATAGTTGGATGGTGAGGGGTCCAAGAGCAAGATAGAATTGATTACTTTCCCATTGGAACCTAGCTGGAACTCATGTACCCCCTAACCCCCTATTTCTGTGTTTTTTACCTAATCTCTTATGAAGTTAATTTCTAGAACCTGAAAGATTTTGGGGTGAATGTGATGGAGGATATGAACTCAAATCTTTAAAACTGGCATCATACACATATGGCTTCTGGAGTGTGTTTTATTTGGCAAGCTTAATAGGGAAAGGTATATGTAAATGTATATTGAGTGACAATTCACTTTGATTGTATGTGAGTTTGGGGAGCAATATGACAGTAAGGTAATAATCTATTTGAAATAGGCTATTTCCTGTAGTTAACTAAATTGATTGCCAAAGTTGAGAGTTCTTAAAGCTTTACCAAACCAAGTACTTACTGAGTTGAGAATAATGCCATTATTAGCCATAATTGGTGCTTTATAATAGTAATGCATTTGAGCAAATAGAGCTGAAGTGTCAGAAAATTGATCTTTCCCTGCAAGTTAAAAGCATATTTTTCCATCAATCACAGTATAAAACCTATTCTTTTAGAATTATCATTCTATTCCACAAATAGTAATTTACTGACAGTGAAGATCGTGAGAAAGAGTAAGGTATTAACCAATTTTATATTGGAGAATGTGGGGTGAAAGAGCAAAGGGAATCAGTGGGATAAGAGTCAAGCATTTTATGCATGGATTTTAAAATATCATCAACAGAAAAGAGTGATTATTTTGTACGTCTAAAATGTTCAATAATTTGCAACTTGGGAAAGTTGAAAGTATAATCAAACCTTCTGAGTAAGAATGAACCAAGAGAATGATGTCATATGAAGGTTTTTCTGGGATTTGGCAATTTATCCAAGATTGGATATCCAGAATTTTACTCTGTAGTCAGACTTCTATGCCATCCCCAAGGATATACGCTGCAAGAACCCTTCCGTTAGAGCAATCTGGACAAACATCTAACCAAGTTTTCTTGATCCCAGATGTAAATCAGAAGACAAGTGGTTTTGCTCTCCTATGCTCTTAGCAGAATATTCTGATGTTCGTTATAAGGCAGGTGGGCAAGGTTACACTTGTATTCTCAGTTTTCCCCTCCATGGAAGAGTGTATGGCTTACCAATACTGTGACCTATAAGTCAAACTATCCTAGTTCATCGCACACTGTGCTGCCCAAGGGAACTACTATTTACTACACATTTATTCTTTTAGTTCATTCTGTTAGTCACTGTGCTTGGCCCTTAAAATATATATCTCATTTAATTCTCACAACAACTATAAATTAGGTATTATCTCCATTTTAATAAAAAAATGCTCAGAGAAGTTAAGTGACATGTTGGAAGACACACAGCTAAGATGTAAAAGAGCTAGTGTTTGCCTTCAAAGCCCAACCCTTTCCACTACACTGAACCTCCTCCTTCTTTTTTTTTTTAATATGAGATTTATTGTCAAATTGGTTTCCATACAACACCCAGTGCTCATCCCAACAGGTGCCCTCCTCAATGCTCATCACCCACCCTCCCCTCCCTCCCATCCCCCATCAACCCTCAGTTTATTCTCAGTTTTTTAGGAGTCTCTCATGAACCTCCTCCTTCTAATTGCGCTAGTGATCTGGCTCTTCAACAAAACTCTAAAGCTGGCAAAATGGGCACTATCTTTGTTGCCTACCCTATCTCATCTGAACCACAAACGTCCCTCCCATCTGAGATAGCCATTGGTGTTTGCTGTGCCAAGTAGTTCCCTGATAGTTGTGAATGTTCAGTCCTCATCTTCTTTCTCTTGGCACTGTCTCTTATGACCCTCGCCCTCCACTGTCTCAACCTTCTGATTTATCCCCTTGTTGTATTCATGTAAACATTTAATATAAACTTAATAATGATTTCTGTGTCATAGGTTGACATGGAGACTCAGTGAGTTCATTTGTGTTAAACATTTATGGTAGCCTCTGACCCACAGAAAGGCTCGATATTGGCAACAGAAAGTCGTGAGAGACCCTACATCATAGTGGAGTGGTTAAGGGCTCACACACTCTGGAGAGAGATGCTCTAGATACAGATCTGGCTTCTGTTTCTTACTTTGTCAGGTTCCTCGGCCTTCTGTGCTGCAGTTTCCTGGGAGTAAGAGCCCCTACCTCTTCATAGGATTCTTGTGAATAATACATGAGGTGATGAGTCCAAGCTATTTAGAATGGAGCTTGGCACATGTTAAGTTATGGTAGCAGTTGCTATCACCATCAACATCATAACTTTTTGAAGGCTTATTTTGTGCCAGGCACTGTACTGTTGTAATTTGTAAGTATTACCTAACTTAACCCTTCTGTGAATAGATGATAATAGGGTACCAACTTCACAAGGTGGTAGCTTGATCTGTCATCACACAGCTCTAAGGCGGCAGAGTAAAGATTTGAATCCAAGCAGTCTGCCTCTGGAACCTGGTCTGTTAGCCAATGTGGGGTAACACAAAAAGTTCTAGCATGAGGGGGATCCTGGCTGGCTCAGTTGGTGGAGCAGGGGACTCTTGATCTCATGGTGATAAGTTCAAGCCCCACGTTGGGTGAAGAGATGATTACTTTAAAAAGTAGGAGAGCACCTGGGTGGCTCAGTCAAGCATCGGACTTTTGATCTCAGCTCAAGTCTTGATCTCAGGGTTGTGAGTTCGGGCCCCACTTAAGACTCCATGTTGGGCATGGAGCCTACTTAGATAATAATAATAAAAAATAATAATAAAATCTTAACACGAATGTCAGGGAACTAGATGCCTAGCCGGCAATGAACTACATCACTTCCCCCCTCCCCCGAGACTCAGTATAGAAATGAATGCATTGAAGTAGGTATCTATAAGACCATAGGTATCTTTCTGTTAGAACACTATGGTTTTGTCTTTTGGATTTTGCCTTGACCATGTGTGATCTCATTCTGTAGAAGACTGCTGCTACTGCCAGTACATTCTAACAACCCAGTCCAAATAATGTGGCTCTGAAGACCTCCCAAAATACTCAGTATTGATCATCTAAAATATCATTTAGCAGAAGTGGTTAGTAAGTGATAAAATTTAAAAGGTTTGGGAATTATGAATAGATGGCCTGATCTCTTAGCACAATTGAGTATGAAATCATTCATTGTTAGACAAAATAAAAGCTTAGGAGTCACCTCATCAGACCTCCTCATTTTGCAGATGATGGAACCAAAGTGGAGAGTGAGGTTGCTTGACCCAGCTGCATTGCCCTAACCATGCCAGGGAACTTCCCAGGAGCAGGGATTATGTTCTATTTATCTTTGTAACCTCAACCCGGTTCCAGTACCCAGTCAGCTTTCAGTATGTGCTTGTCAAATTTAAATTGCCTTTGTGCCGATACATGCACAAGATACTGGATGTCCAGTACCTGGTCAGTGCAGGTCACATGGTAGGTCCTCAGTAAATTATAGTTTTCTATACCTTGTTTAATAGATACCTTAACTTA